AAGTGTGTGAGAAAATGTTTTTTTTTCTTGCATTAAAAACATCATATGCATCATCTTGTTTTCCTTCACATTCCCATGTGGACTGAGTCACACAGAACTGAATTGGGTCAGTGATTCCAATGTTTTGTTGTACGTACTAGCTAGTTACTACTACTCTGCTATCTTAATGTTGTCCCACACAGGCAGGGCCAGACTCGAAAAATGAAAAAAATAAAATTATCCAAGTCTAAAATTTACATTTTGAGTTCTATTTTATTATTTTAGAATACTTATATTTCAAAATTATTGATGAATTTAAAAATATGGAAAAAGATGTTAATCCTGTTAATCTTAGGGTCCAAGAAAAAGATGTTAATCCTGTTAATCTTAGGGTCGAATCCGACAACGAGCAGCGATAGTGTGTGAGTTTTATTATTTGTAATAGCTTTTTGTGCGCACCGAACACGGAGCGGCTTTTCTAAATACTAGATCGAGATTATACCATAATTTACCCCCATTAATTCCGTTGGGGAGTGTTGGGTTGCAGTGTGGGGCGCCCGAGGTGATGTTGTCCCACTTTTTCTTTTTTTTTTTTGCTTTTAGCATTAATGCACAACAACGAACCAGCATTCCTGCGCTGTCTAAATTAATGGTCATCTTATGTCAATGTCTAGCTTCTACGTACCTTTTTTGGGTTCGTACTACGATTTTTTTTAATAATTGCCCATTTAATAATAACTAATTCCCAGCTTATAGTGGGGTGACTTACATGAAAGAGAAAATATTTGTGATTAAAATTTGGAAATTTTCGTGGACTAATCATCGCGAGGAAGGGCACACTTGGTTCGTGCGTATTTACACGTTTAGGCAAACACATAACAAGCCTGTGAGGGGATGTCATTCGAAAAGGGAGACCATTAGACTTATATGTTGAACTTTTATTTGTTTTTTTTCAATGTGGGAGAAGCTCCCAATGCCTCTCTCGAGTGCAATTGCCTGGCCCGTAATTTTTACTTGTTGCGCTTGACTTTGTTTTCTTGCCTTGTGGCTGGCTAGCCAAATAGAGTAGGAGTTCAAACCCAAATCGAACTTGCTCGGATACCATGATAAAATTTTCATGGGTTACTCATCTAGTTGACTAAGAGGTTACATGTTCGAAACTTAGCGTCACCTAATTTAAAAAAATAAGATTTCACGTGCAAAGCTTGAAAACATTATGCATGCACGTGAGACGGCGTCTTAGCACATAAAAAATCACTCCTCGGCCACACCTACAAGCTTGGGCTTTTGGTGAATTGATTCCTTGTCATAATATTAGAGCAGGTTCTAGTCTATCTCATTTGTTAAGGTATCCGTCTACATGTTCATTCCTAACTGCCCTAATCTTTAGTTCAACTATTTGTATAGAATACATATACCCAACAACTTGTGGCTCGTTTAATCTGATTGTTCGTCTAAAAGTTCATACCCAATGACTCAGGATCCTTTAGGTGTCGCCACTCAAATATTCAAATATTCATTTAAAGGGGGTGTGAATCCATTTTCAAGTTGTCAATCAGTTAACTTCAAATTGGTTTGGTTGTTTACTTCAGGAGTTAGTGACTTAGTGTTAAAGAGTATCACTCATCAGAAAAGAGAGAATAAAAATAATGGGTATATAAGTTCTCGAGTTGAACTAATTAAATGATTGAATTCAATATTTTAATGTGGTTCAACTCAAATGTCTTATGGTTCAATCCAGTAAACTTTATCCCACCATAAATTTTATCACCCAATGTAACACCTCTTTTTTCAAATGAATTTCTCTTCCCAACATAATATTAGAATTCTATATAATTTTTTTCCAATTCCTTCCTATTTCAACTCTATATAATATTATAATTCTATCAATACTACAACAACTAAATATGTATATAACTTTTTTTGTATCAAAATTTATTTTTAAAAGTTGTATTAATTCATTTTATTTTTATTATTGTACAATTTTATTTTCATTTTTTTAGAAATATAGTATTTTTGTTGTTTCTATTTTTGTTATCATTAAGAAATATGAAGTAACGGATCATAATTGAACGTGATATTGTTAGTTCCTGAAACGATGTTGTATCAATGCTTCAAGTCAAGCATCATTCAAGGCGCCCTTGGGAGGATGACGATTTTAATATTTTATAGACTCAAAAATAAGTTGGGTGCGTCATAACAACTACATCCTCCGTCCGAAAATGTTCTTCCCATTTGACTTTTCACGATATCTAATATTGCACTTTGACCATTAATATCTATATTTATACATAGATATATTTTATAAAGATTTGATATTTAAAAACTACGTTTCATTATTAATATATTGGTATTAAATTTACATTATAATACAATATGTTTTTTCCACAAATCATAGTCAAAATTTATAAATTTTAATCAAGAAAAGTAAAATGTGAAGAATATTTCCGGAGGAAGGGAGTATTATTGTGCCCCAAGCCACCAGCATGGAGTGGAGTACTAGGATGAAAACTAGTTGGATAAAGCTACTTGTACCCCAAATTTGTGTACCCCATTTGTACACCGCAGGTTTGCACCGACATTTTGTGTCGGTGTAAAACTAATTTTTATTAATGCACCAACACTTTGTGTCTGTGTAAATTTTTGTTAACGCACCAACACTTGTGTCGGTGTAAACCATCAAAATGTTTGTGCATAACTGCGGTGTACAAATGGGGTACAAATTTTGGTGTAAATGTAGCATGGTCCAAACTAGTTCTCTAGAGGGAGGGGGAGAAAAAACCCCAAAATATTACTCTCATATTACTCCCTCCCTTCCTTTACGAGAAGAAATGTTTTATTTTTTGAAATCATTTTATTTATAAGTCGATATATCAATAAGAAATAAAAATTACATATTAAAAAACTACGTCAAATGTTCTACAAAACAAGATGTGACAAAAATATTTTATTTTATTTTATCAAATACTTAATGAAATCGTACAAATAAATACGTAGTAAAAATTATCGGGAGGAGAGAAAAAAAATTGTAATAAAAATGGGAACATGGGGAGTATCATTTTCAAAATAAGATCCCATGAATGACAAGAATATTTTATTTTATCAAATACTTAATGAAATCGTACAAATAAATACGTAGTAAAAGTTATCGGGAGGAGAGAGAAAAAATTGTAATAAAAAGGGAACATGGGGAGTATTATTTTCAAAATAAGATCCCATGAATGAAAATATATAATATTTAAAAATAGGGCGGGGATCTTTTGAACTTAGATTCCAATGTCATTTTATCACCTGAGCACCTACGGTGCTTCGTTGGTAAACTCGATAGTTTCTATCCTTGACACCCCCCGCCCCCTCCATGCCCACACCGCAACACCCCTTGGCCGCCACTCAATTTTGCCGATTGGCTATACTATTACTGTAGGCAGGGGGTGTTGTGGTGGGGTGGGGGCAAGGAGGGGTTAGGGGGTAGGATGATACAAACTCGATTCGGATAGGGAAGACTCAAAGCGTCTTCAAGCTTCACAAATTAGGGACGAGAAGCATAAGAAATCACGTACACTTTGGTAGCCGACAATATGGAGACGAGGAAGAGAGAAGAACGCACACAGATGCTTAACGCCAAAGGGAAGGAAGAGATTTTAGGGTTTGTGTTGTTATTGATTGCTTCTTCTCGAGAGGTTACATATCTATTTATAACCCTAGCTCATCTAATTTCTCGTCTGTCGGTTCAACAAATACATCGAGGTAAAGAACCAAAAATAAAGCCTCGAAGAAACTTATAAATTTGATTACCTAATGAAACTTAAATTACAATACTAATACAAATTAAAATGGTTCTTTTGAACTAAGAACCTCAGTCATATTATGACCCTTGGCCCCTACGGTGCTTTGTTCGTAAAATTGATGGTTCATACTCCTAAACAGGCTAAACCCTACCCCCTACTTGCCCACACCACCACAGCACCCCTGCCCCCTCCCTCCCCTCCCCTCTCCATTTCGCAAGTAGGGGGCAAAGGGGTAGGGTTTAAGAGCGATAGAACCATTAATTTTACAAACGGGCAGGGGCCCGAGTCATAATATGATTCGAAGTTCTAAGGTGAAAAGATCTTTGTCCATATTAATAATATTGCTATGAAATATGCTACTTTACTATCCAGAACATAGGAGCCATCAATTTTACCAATAGAGTACCATAAGTATTTCGGGTCATAATATGACCTTGGAATCCAAGGTCAAAAGAACCATTTTGTAAAAAATATTGTATAACATCAATATATAGTGTTACATTATTACAATAATTTTTTTTTAGTATAAATATATTTGTATTTTGAGGATACATGTTCTGTTTGGTTTCTATTTAAGTGATATTTTAAAGAGAGTGGTTCTCATAAAGGTTTGTCAAAATGAATTTTATGCACTAAAGATGTGAGCATGGCTTTCAAAAAAAACACTCCAAAGTTATTAATTGAATGGTTAAGTATATGAGAGCAGAATTTGACATCAACTAGGAAACTAATCTGTTACAACTCTGTGCATCTCAGAACTAATAGGGTATATGAAATCAATGTTAGTCATATCTAGACCTGAGAATCAGAGTAATAATGTCACAATATATAATGTCAATATATAGTGTGACATTATTGCAGTACAACAATATTTCTATTTTGAAGATACATGTTATGGCTTGTTCCTATTTTGAGTAATTTCTTAAAGAGAGTAGTTCTCCATGGAGAAGAAGAAAAATGGAGATGAAGGGTCAATCTTTGCTAGGTCATAAAGGCTTGTCAAAATGAATCTTTTAGTTCCATTGTCACATTCAAAATTTTGAACTTTTATGCAGTAAAGATGTGAGCAAGGCTTTCAAAAAAAGCTCCAAAGCTATCAATTGAATGGTTAAGTAGATGAGAGCAGAATTTGACATCAACTAGGAACCTAATCTGTTACAACTCTGTGCATCTTAGAACTAATAGGGTATATGAAATCCATGCCAGTCATATCTAGACCTGAGTATCAGAGTCAACTTTCCACAGCATCTATTGATCCTTTAAGCTCCCTAAAGACTCATTTGTGGCTGTAGAAACCTCAATTACATTTCCTCTCATCCATTGATCTGCCATAAGCCTTCACTGCAGGGAAAGCAAACCCACAATTAAACAAATAAACAATGGCTTCACTATGAAAGAAAGTTAACTTCCACAAATCATGCAAGAGTAGGAGCAGTAGTTACCAGGACTTAAAATCTCTATGCGCTTAGTGACAGACTTCATCGATGTGAAAGTATTTGGATCTATAAGCCAACGAAGATATTTTGATAAGATTCCATTGAACGGAACTATTTTTTATTATAAAACTGCATGATTGAGCATTCATAATACCTGATAAACCAGTTTCTTTTGCAAGGACTTCTGTGAACATTGATGAAATATGAGAGGAAATTTGGTTGGCTCCCATATCAGCCTCTCCGGACTTGTTTGGTGAGCTGTGAATGAGAAATTTAAACAAAATGCCTCAGATTCTGTAAATACAATTCAAAACATCCAGAAATAGATATAAAGGGGTTAAGAGCATTTTACTCAGAGAAGGGTTCTGGAGAAGAATTCTTGTCTTGCTGGGGAGAAGAAAAATTTCCTTGTCCATCGAGTTCAAAGTCGACCAACAGCTCAGAGAGGTTAAACTCCATTCCAAGAGCATCTAAATCTAAGTCAAACATCTCTCCATCAGATTCAGAAGTAGAATTCCCACCAGGGCTCGGCACCTTTGTTGAACATGATGGCAAATCAGAGGCATCAAAATCTAACCTTCCTTTTACATGATCCCTCTTTGTGCTATTCATGTTTGCCTTAACCGGAGACAAAGTAGATATGCAACGGTTTCTCTCAATCGAATAGTAGCCTAGTTGCTTGGACGGGCTGACTCGTATTGTTTCTGAAGAGATTATCATGCAGTTGGGTGATACCATTTGCTGGGGAGTAAAATCATTGCCAGAAGTAGCCGTGGAAGAAATCTCTTGTGGTGAAATGGACTTCCCAGATTGAGAGGAGGATGCACGTGGCGGCGTCTTAGGACCAGACGAATTAGTTGTAGGGGATTGAGTTGATTGTTTAAACAGACACTTAGAAACAGTAGACCCTTGAACTGTTGTTCCATTAGATGCATTACGATGGACTGATGATGGAATCGCTGAAAGTTTGGAAGGATTGTCATGACCACTATCTGCATTGTTTGCTTTGGCAGGTGCCTTACCACCTGCAATAACCATCTAGCACAGTAAATAACTTCTTTCAAAAACTATTGCGCCATTTTTTAAAATACATCTAGAAAAGGCCACAATGAATAGAAAGAGAAAAGACATTCTTTCCAGATTGGCCATGCAAGAAAGAAAGAAGATAAGTAGGAATGTGGAAGACAAAATCGTCCCACGATTTACCTTTCAAAGGTAATTTGCCTGCTGCTGAACTCTTATTAGATTTCTTAGAACTCAGATGAGCATCTGATATGGAGCGCTTCCTTTTAGTTGAAGTGGGATCCGTAGGTGCGGAAGAATAAGTGTGAACTACGGAGGGCGCCATGGTTTGCATCATAGTTTGGGAATTAAACCCTGAATAGCCACCTGACAATGTGGGTATCATAAGAATTGAGAACACAAAAATAAACACGAAGCCCTCAAATTCACTACACACTTGTCCATTCAGCATGACAGCGCCTAACCGAACTCCAAACCATGTCCAGGAGAAAATCACTTCAGAACAATATTGAATTGTCAAATCATGTCCCCAATTAATCATATCAAACCAACACACAAGAACACTTTCAAGTATATGTCTAAACTTGGTGTAGACAGCAAGTGCACCAACAAACATCTTGTATACACATCAAAACATTCAACAAATGTAGATCATACAAGGAAAAGATGTGAAATGGGTATTGGAGAATTGGATTGAAATTACCTGCTGGAAATTGAGAAGAAGAAGAAACAAGAGCAGGGGGTGTGTTGAGAGTAGCAGAAGCATTGTAAGCATTCATGACATCCTGCATTCCCTTGAGCAAATTCTGGAGTCGAAGTTTCTCCTGCTCCAGAAGCCCCCTTTCTTTGTCAACTGCCAATTTCTGCCCCTTCAGGCATACGTATTCATCCAACAACTCCCCCAAACTCAACACCTTCGTTGACTGTTCCACGAAACAACACAAATCAATCAAATCCCACCGGATAACAATCAAAATCGCATAAACCCTTGAAACCACCGAGTTTAACATTAATTACCTCCTGTGGCGGGGATTTGGAGAAGAGATGCGGAGCTTCGGAGCGGAAAGCGGATCTAGTCTCAGAGAGATTGTTGTCGCCGAGATAACAATCGACGATGAAGGCGACCTGCGCCGGCGTCACTTTCCCTTTCCCGAGCTGAGCGCTTTCTGCGGATTTTCTCGATCTGCTGGATTCCTTGCTTTGCTTCCCCATTCTCTCCCGTTCTAAGCTATGGAATACAGAGAAAAAGTTCTGCGAGAATTGAGAACGATCCGATCAGATAGCTGCAGAAACGAATTGGCGCAAAGAAGATGGAACATATTAGCGGGAGAAAATATGAAGGAAAAAACGCGCGGTTTTGAATCTTTTTGCGCCAAAGGCAAAATGTATAGGCTCCAACTATTTCACTATTTGTGCCGGCTACACTTCCCGTGTTCCCTCCCAATGTTTTTGAAATTGTCCATTTTGCCCCCACAATCACAAAGGGGGTGTTTGTTTTTTGGCCAGAAGAGCTTCTGTCCTCTTTTGTCTGCGCCGCGCAGACGCGCGCAGATGCTGAGCTCTGCAGATTGTTTGTTTTTTGGAAGACATTTTACTCAAAAAAGTCTTCCTGGCATCTTCTTGGAGAAGACATTAACCTATGTATTCTAACATCTTCTAACATCTTCTCCATTTTTTTTATCTACTTCTCTTCACCACCACCACCGTCCACNGCCGTCAACGTCCACCACCACCCTCCACCACCACCACAATCGTCCATACACCACCACCGTACACTACCACCATTAATTTATATAGCAGTCTACAGACATTAAAAAACAAACAGTCTTCTTCTTGCAGACCGCAGACCTTCGGTTCACCACTTCTCCTGCAGATGTCTATAGTAGTGGTCCGCAGACTGCAAACCTTTTCTTGCAGAAAAAACAAACACCCCCAAATACTCCAGGGTACAAATTTGTCACTTATTTGAATTTCTAGTTTTGTATTCTCACATTTATGTTGGTAACTCTACATTTCTATTTTGCCCTTGAACCCAAACCAACCGATTTTCCTTTCTTTTTTTCGTTACTCTCTTCGTCCTAAGTTTACTACCCGAGTATCTTACTACCGGTACTAAAATTTGACTAAATTAATTTCTAATAAAATTTTTAAATAATAATACAACATTTTTTTAAAAAAATATTTATTTTAAAAACTACATTAGGAGCTCTATGAAACAATGTGATATTAAAATATTAAAATATTATTTTTAATAAATGATTAACATAAATAAAAAAATATAACGATTAATTTGGGACACATGAATTATATTGGTATGCAAACTCTTAAATATACATAGTCTATAGGATATTTTTATGTAATGTTGTAAATAAATTATCGAAAATTTGATTACCTTCCGTATCCGTTTACACGATAAATACATGCATCTGTTAAAAGCGGTTACTATCCGTATTCGATTAAGGACAATCAATTGATAAACAGATGTGAATTTGGCAATCACATATCTGATCTGTTTATGATTCGTTCTGCATAAAAATCTATTTGATTAACCATTTATTCTTGTATCTGATCTGTTATACCCTTGTACATAGTTTTTTCCATATTTTTGATTTTATACATATTTTTTTCTATTAACATCTCAAAGTATAAGACATTTTCATGTGTAAAATATATGTGTAGACACATAAAAATATGTGTATATGTGTATTATGCATACCTTTTTATTATATGAAATTGTTATAGAATAGTATAAATTATAAAAAATAAGAAAAATATTATTCTGTAACAGTTTATATTTGAATGAATACAAATTTGACTTTAACTTAATTGGAAATTAAAGTATTGTTCAATTTGACTCTAAAATTTAAAACAGATACATATATATCTGATATTCAACCAGTATCCGATGGATGTAGATACGGTTTTAATTTTTTGTATCTGACAAGATTCATATCTCAATTCGAAATCCGATAAAAAAAGAGATACGGATCTGGTAATTACAAATCCAGTTTGATTAATATCTGCTTACATCCCTATTTTTATGTGATTAAGGAAAAATAAAATAATGGCCTATATTTTGGAAAAATAAAAAGTTAACAGAATAATGAATTGTAAATTCATTTTTTGTTAGTTTCTTAAAATAATCTCAAATTTCATGAAATTACACAAAATAATATCGACTTTTATTGAATAGCATATAATAATCCTTTTTTTAATTTTTTTATTTTTTAAGTTTTCTCTATGTCCATTGTTATTGAAATAGATATATAAAAAATTAATCAAGACACACTTGTCACGAAATGATGAAAAATTTTAAAAAATTAAATTGAGCCCAACTACAGCTTTGGCACGACTATTTTTTGGTAAACCACAAAAAGGTGGGATCAATTTTTATTTGAGTCAAAACCAATAAAAAACAAAATAAGGTAGTTTTAACTTCTTAAAATCAATAAAATACAAAAGAAATGAACTCCTCCATAGTTTGAGTGGTAGAAATCCTACTCTCCATGTGTTATGAAGATTTTTATTTAGTTTCAATCCTCAGCAAAGGCGGATGCATTTGCTCCCATTTTTGTGATCGCCATAAAATGATTGAGCTAAAGTTGTAATTGCGTAATTTAAGTTTGTAAAATTTTCTGTTAATCCGAGACAAATTTGTCTTAATTAAGAAAAGTATTTATATATTTATTTCAATAATGATTGACTTAGACAAAACCTAAACAAAAGAAGTTAAAAAAATATGATTATTATATGTAACTTAGGGACTGTTTGGCAATTTCTGAATATGTAAGTGTTGAACCAATAAGAGGTCTGAACCATTAAGTGTTGAACTAGTAAGAGGTCTGAACTATTAAGAGCTAGTATATTGCTTAACTATTCAGAGGCAAATATCTGATCAATTCAGATAAGAAGTCTTAACCATTCAGACTCTGTATAATATTTAACCATTCAGAGACAAATCTATTAACCATTCAAACATCTGAACCATTAAGAGGCTGAAACAGTGTGAACCATTAAGTGCTGAACCATTCAGACATCTGAACCATTAAGAGGCTGAAACAAACAGCCCCTTAATAGAAGATGAGATTATTTTATGCAACCCAATGAAATGTGGGTTTTTTTTAAGAAATTAACAAAACAAAATATTTTCTAACTCATCATCCGTTAAATATTCTGTTAAAAGTGTAATGGTGATCCAAAATGCACAACTTCAAATGTTGAAATTGGTTTGCATAAGATTCAAAAGTAATCCCTCCCTCCCAAATTGTAAGCAACATTATGCTATATTATGCTAAAGGAAATAATTTTTTGAATTTTTTCAATCCATTTTATTTAAAGAACGGTCTACAAAAAAAAACCTACATGTTTAAAAACTACGTCAAAAATTTTACAAAACAAGTGGTGACAAGACTATTTAATATTATCAAATATTCAATGAAAGTATAAAAATAAATAAAAAATTTCGTGATTTTTAAACAGTGAAGTGTTGCTTACATTTTGGGACGAGGGAACAAGTTGTTTTTAAAAAAGACTTTGTACAACTTATGCATCGCTTAAAACATCGCATATGCAATCACAAGGGATATACACTCACAGACTCACTCTAAGAGCACTCGAAACACCCATGAAGCTTTGGGGCTACAAAACGGGGCTTCAGACTTTCTCTATCTGGCACGTTATCTTTAACTTATTTCATAAGCTCAGTAAAAATGGGTTTGAAGCCTCGGAACTTCAAACCTTCATTTCTTATATTTTAAATATACATCTTCTAAAATTAAATTAATAAAATTTAATTATTTAAAAGAAAAAAGGAGAATAGTTCATTTAAAAATTACATTCATTAAAAAAATTACATTAAAAAAACAACACTACGAACAAATTACTGGTTATTTGAGTGACTGAAGATCTGTTCGATCAAATCTGCCGTTAGTGCATTGCGAATTTGCCGGCTTCGAATTCCTTGGCAGTTTCTTCGTTTCTTTTTTTCATCGATTTGTTTGTACATACACACCTCCTCGTCTAGGTTGTAATGACAAATCACAAACTCGTTGTCCTCCACGATCATATTAGAGCACTGAAAGGGGCTTCAAAAATTTTCTCTCTGCCACGTCAACTTTAACTTACCTCAAAGATTCAGTGGAAATGGGATTGAAGCCACGAGACTTCAAACATGGACTTCAAACATTCATTTTTTACATTTTTAAATATACATCTTTTAAAACTAAATTAATAAAATTTAATTATTTTATTATTAAATTATATTGAAACAAAAATAATTAAAAAAATATTACATTCATTAAATTAAAAGAAATTGAAGTGACAATAATTGTAAAAAATTACATTCATTAAATTGAAAAAAAAAGAAAGTGGGGGTGTAGAGGTGGGAATAGGGTGAGGGGTTTAGAAGGTAAGTTAGGGGGATAAGAACCATCAATTTTACGAACGGAGCATCAGAAGTGTCCCAAAAACGCAGTGGCACCGTTAGTAGCATCGCTCTCCGATGTCACTGCAACCGGGCCGTTTACAATATTAGAGCTATTTCTAAATAGTACTCCCTCCGTCCGAGAATGATGTTCCCATTTAAACTTTTCCTCATTTTTAAAGAAAGTTTGACTTAGTGATTGAAGGGACTAAAATGCCCTTTCAATGCCCCAATCCAAAACACAGATCTACGATTTCTGCTGGGTGCCACCACTGCACTTGACAGACACCCTGCCCGCTGATACCCGCCGCCCGTCGCCACCACCACCGGCTCAGCTCCGTCACCTCTAGTTCTACCACGCCCACAGCCGCCACCATCTCCTCCAATTGCCACTACCATCAGGTCGAGGACGCTCATAGATCTAATTGGGCACAGATCTAATTGGAAAAAAGAGAAAATCAAAAGAAGAAAAAGAACAAGGGGGAGGCACGACGATAGAGAAAGAGAGAGAGGAAGAATAGAAGATGGAGTAGATGATGACCAGATCTGCCCAGAAGAAGGGATGAGAAAGATAGAGAAGAAGATTGGGGAGGGGAAAGAGAGACAAAGAGAGGAGAAATTTATTGATTTGGCGGAGAAAAGGAAGGAGAGAAAAGAAGAAGAGGGAGGAGTCGGAGAAGAAAGCTGGAATGGAGTATTTGGATGAGGGGTATTTTTGGAAGGATTGATGTGAAAACGTAGAGTAAGAATATCATTTTCGGACGAAAAAAACGTACAATGAGAACATCATTCCCGGACGGAAGGAATATTTATTTATACTGCTATGCTATTTAAACTAACGTGAACAATTTTGATGATTTTTCCTATGTCATTGTCTTTAGTTATATGAGAAGTAAATCAAAGGTTGACATAAATTCTACAATGAGAAGGATCCTAAGTTCAAAGCATGGTGACAACAATGAGAGTCAACCATGAAGGCGTGAAACTTGTGTAAATATCAAACAAGAAACTCCACTCTTACACCAATTCATACAAAATATAGCTCGATTAACCCATTTCCACGAATTATCCAGTCAATGTCGAGAGGCCCTCAAGTTTTATTTATACATTACCAATTTGCATTCAACTTTTGATTGTGTTCTAGCCTCAAGGGTTGTTCAAGTTCAAATGAGATTCGGTCGCAATAGAAGAAATTTATTAGTTTTTTTTAGAGAAGTAAACTTAGATGGGTTAAATATTTCAATTTTTGAGGAAGAATAGTTTTTCAAAAGTGATCTGAATTGAGAGAAATGTAATACAATAAAAATTACTCCGAAATACTTTCTTTACCACAAAAGAATTTATGTAATTTATATTTTGATGACTAAATATAATCTTATCACTACTTGTTTTGTAAACCTTAAATAGTTTTTAAATATATAAATTTTATTTTTTAATTTTATACCTACAATCAAATAAATTAAATTAAAAATAAAGTCAGTCCAACCTTGTAAAATTAACCAAAAAAATATTTTAAAAACATTATTTTATCCAATTAATATATAATACTCCTTCCGTTTTTAAAAAACACTTCCACTTTATATTAAAAACTACTTTTACCCTTATTTTTTCATACCCTACTAATCAATTATACTTTTTCTCTAATAATCTATCTATCCGTTTTACTTTTACTCATCACACCAGAAGCAAAATTAAAAGTCAACTACAATTTAACATTTCCTTATTTTTGCACTAAGTCAAAATAGAAATTTTTTTTGCAAACAGAGGGAGTACATATTTGTACTAATTTTGGATCAAAGATTGAAAATAGTTGATCAAAATAAGTCAAAGACAAATACTCCATGCAGGAAGTAATAATTCATTTGACAATTAACATATTTTGCTATCTCTTATTCGGTATTCTAATACTATTAGTATAAACCTCCCAAATTTAAATTGATAATTTAGAGCCGGGTACACCAAATATGTACCCCATTCATCAAATGTGTACCCCATTTATCCCCCCGCCCTCTTCTCCACCATTCATTTTTATTTACTTTTTATTTATTTAATTTTTTTTAAAATTTTTGCCCATTTTTGTAGTAATGAAAGGGGTGGGGGACAAATGGGCTACACCATTTTTTGATAATTTAGTATTTATAAGATCAAATTTTTATTATGCTCTTTACTTATTTTCACAAAACATTTGATAAAACAAGATAATATTGTCATGTTTTAATACTCTTACATATATATAAATTTTATGTCTTAATTCCTTCCCAATTTTCAACTTAATTAAATTAGAAAATAAAAAACTCAGGAAAAAAATTCTTGAATGGAGTCCCAGTATACTCCATTGAGTATCCATTTTTTTGGAAAAAGCACCAAATAAAAAATTGCGAAAACAAATAAAGAGAGCATCTCAGAAATAAGTCCCTAAATTTTCTTCACGGGTAATCAAAGTGCAAGGATGACGACTTCTGATTCCTCCTCATTGATGCCCTTCTTCATATTCCCAACCAACGTGAAAAATAAAATTAAAATAAAAATTGAGATTTTAATAAAATATAGATCTCAGTCGCATATTGTTCTTCCTCAATTCCGAGGCCGGAAATTGCAGATAGATAACGCAGAATTTCGTAGCATCACAGATCAACGAAAACCGGAAATCCCAAACAATGGAAAACGATGTTCAAAATAAAATGAATGGAAGAGAGGATCTCAGAAAAGTGAAATACAAAATAATAAGTTAATCTTCATATTTTGAAGATCCAGATTGGGAAAATCCTCATAGATCCAACTTACAGAGAAATAAAACACGAAAAGAGAAAACCAAAATGAACAGAAAACTTTAGATTTTTGCTTTGAAAAGGATCACTGGTTCGACACAGGGAGATAATGATTCCGGCGTCCGTTTGAATTTATAGCAGAAGGGAAGGGAAGAAAGATGATTTAGAACCCTAGACGGACCACCACGGGAAAATTTCCGCAGTGCTTTAAGAAATGATATGGCCCGGCCCATTCACTCAAATTCTCATTGGTCCACAAATAAAATGGTCATAGATCTTACGAACTTATTATCCATGAATTTTAATAATAAAATAAAATAGCCTAAAAAAACTTTAAATGAGAATTTATATCACAAATGGTAATCTTGTGAATTTTTCGACTATTTTGTTTATGAATCTAGCATTGCACTTTTTATTTTGGATGTCGATTTTGTTTGGAAACAATTTTTCCAATCAACGTTAGTATTTTAAAATTTTTTTTAATAGTGTAGAATAATTTTGTTTTAAAAAAAAGTATAGATTAATTTTCAAAACGCTACCACTAAGTGTTGACTAGTATATATTCCCATCGTCCCTGAAAACTCTACTTGTTTTGACTGTTTTGGTCAAACATGGACACTCTTTGATCATAAACTAAGCATAATCTAAATAATTAAATGTATAAATTTTTGATATATCAAAAGTATATTTTAAGATAAACTTAATTATATTAAATTTATATCATACTTCAATATACTTTTCTAATAATTTGTAGTCAAGGAGCGCTTATATTCCTTGACCAAAAAATCATAACAGGAAGAGTTTTAAGAGTAGGAATGAGTATATTCTTTTCAAAATATTTAAAATGAAAGCTAAAATTTTTGTCAAACTAGCCCTTCATCAAGTTGGTCTATTTCACTCAAAATATGATAAAATTAGTGTCTAAAACAATGATCCCACAGTTTTTTCGCAAGCATCAACATACAAAACAATTTTTATTATTTTGTCACATCTTTTATGTCATCTTTTATTTTATATTCGATTGATTTCAAAAATCTATCCTTGAAAAAAAACAAAACTCTAATCCCCCCCTTTTTTTCTTCTACTCCACTCCTAACCGCAAAAAATGCTAGGAGACGCCTCCAAGCATTACATAGGCACACATAGATAGTAACAAGCAACAACTATGAAAGGAATAGCGACGATGACTCACTCCGCCTGCACTTGGGATGCCCCGATGCCTGATACCTCCCAAAGGTGTCAACAGGAGGTCGATGGGGAGGAAGGGCCGTACGGCAGGGGGAAAGAGGGAAAAGAAAGAGAGTTACGTGAGAAGGAGAGTTAGGGGAAGAGAGAGAGAGTTTTAGGGTTTAAGGGAATTCTTTATTGACAATTAGGAGAGCATTGGACGCCCTATTTATAACAAATAACCCCCTTAATCCTACTTAGTCTAGGTTATCTATCCTGACGGTTCAAAAAAAGCGACGAGGTAAAGAACCGTAAAGAAACCCTCGAAGGAGCTTATAAACCGCTCACCTAAAAAAATCTACGATACAATAAAAATAAAAACCAATAATTGAAAATGATACGTTTAAACATAGTCGTCATATTTCCTTGGACGGCCCACGTTCCTACGCGGACGAGAACACACCGGTGCCGTAGTCGCGTCCACCACGTCATTGCTTAACGTGTCCGATGGTACCTCCGTATCAACTCCCCCGGGCTCAGGAACAACCTTGTCCTCAAGGTTGAGCGTAGGGAAGCGTTGCCGGATCCGCCCCATCGGACCAACGTACCAGCCATTGCGTCTCCTGCACCCCACCCACCAACACTGAGCGGGATCGTTCAACCCCAAGCGGCACAGATAACGGGCGCCCCCTGTGGAGTTCGTCGGGCAGGGCTGCCGGCGGTGGGAGAACGCCGGATTGAACAAAAGGGCGCAAGAGTGAGACGTGAAAAACATCATGAATTTTGCAGCCGTCGGGAAGGCGCAATCTGTAAGCCACTGCCCCAATCCGTTCTTTCACCTCAAAAGGACCGTAAAAACGACGAGAGAGCTTGTGAGATAGTGGCCGGGCCACCGAATGTTGACGATAGGGCTGGAGTTTGAGCAAAACCAGATCCCCGGGCTGAAAAACTATGTCACGGCGGTGTTGATTAACTTGCTATTGCATCCGCTGTTGAGCCCGCTTCAAATTGGCCTTCAAATCAGCCAGAAGCTCAGCACGTTCTTGTAGCATTGTTTCGACAGTGGGGCTGCGAGATCGGACGGCCATTGTAGCAAACAAATTCGGGGGTTCGCGGCCATACAACGCTTGGAATGGCGTCATGCGCAACCCTTCATGGTGGCTGCAGTTCAGGGCCAACTCAGCCCAAGGCAGAAATGAAGCCCACCGGCGCGGCCGTTCGAAGGTGAAGGCCCTCAAGTATTGTTCAAGGCTCCGGTTGACCACCTCCGTTTGCCCGTCGGTCTGCGGGTGATAAGCAGTGCTAAACTGGAGGGTGGTTCCACTAAGCTTCAAGAGTTCCTTCCAAAAGGTGCTCATAAAAACGGGGTCACGATCGGATACAATTGATAACGGAAAGCCATGGTGCTTGACCACCGTGTCAAGGAACAACTGCGCTACCCGGGGTGCATCGAACGCCGGTGGTAAGGAGCCAAAATGAGTGTATTTAGAGAGGCGGTCGACCACCACCATGATCACCGTGCACCCACGAGACGGGGGCAAGCTCGTAATGAAGTCCATCGACGCCGAGTCCCACACACGATCCGGGATTGGTAATGGTTGCAATAGGCCTGCTGGTTTCTGTGTGGAGTACTTAGTAGCTTGACACACCATGCAAGAGGCCACAAATTGGCGGACGGATTTGCGCATATTCGGCCAAAAGAAAACAGCTGCTAACCTCCGGAAGGTCCTGTCAACGCCTTGGTGTCCCGCGATGAGGGTACTATGAAATTCTGTGATAAGTTGAGTGCATAAGGGCGAACCGGCGCTGACATAAATGCGGTGGTGGTAGTAGAGTATGCCGTCATGGCATGAATAGGGTCTGGCAGCTTTGCCTTGGCGCACGGCGTCAACCAACGCCACAATCTCTGGGCAGTGGAGATGCTTGTGTCAGAGAGTAGCGAGGAGACGGGGGACCGGTTGGGCATAAGTGGTGAAGAGGTTGGCCGAAGAGTCCTCCTCTGCCTCTCGTCGGGACAATGCATCCGCCGCCTTGTTGGATGCCCCAGTCTTGTATTCAATACGAAACTTGAATCCCATGAGTTTCCGGATATAGAACTGTTGGTCCGGAGTTTGATTAACTTGCAACAGAAGCTCCTTAAGGCTCCGTTGATCGCTACGGATCACGAATTCCCGTCCAAGCAAATACTGGCGCCACTTTTGGACGGCTTCGACAATGGCATAAAGTTCCTTGTGGTACGTCGACGCGGTGCGACGCCAAGGCCCGAGCTTTTTGCTAAAGAAAGCGATTGGATGTCCACGTTGGAGTAAAACCGCGCCAATGCCCGTGTCAGATGCATCCGTCTCGAGGTAGAATGGCTGGGTAAAGTCCGGAAGCCGAAGGACCGGGGCCGTGGTCATGGCCAATTTTAGCCGCTGGAAACTGTCCTCCGCTGCGGTAGACCACACGAAGCCCTCTTTTTTTAAGAGATCTGTTAAGGGGCCTGCGATGGATGCATAGCCGGCAATGAAGCGCCTATATAACCCGGTGAGGCCAAGGAAGCCGCGTAACTGCCGTACCGTGGTTGGGGTTGGCCAGGACACCATTGCTGAAATCTTTGCAGGATCTGGTTTGAGTACGCCGGCAGTGATGAGATGACCGAGATAATCAATCGTGGCTTCGCAAAAGGAACACTTGCTCAACTTGACAAAGAAGGAGTTGGTATGAAGAATGCCCAAGACTGTACGGAGGTGAGTGGCATGTGCATCCATTGTATCACTGTAAACCAAGATGTCGTCGAAGAAGACGATTACAAACTTCCAAAGATAAGCCCGAAAAATGTCATTCATGGCGGCTTGGAACGTCGACGGCGCGTTGGTGAGTCCAAATGGCATGACGAGGAACTCATAATGGCCCTCGTGGGTGCGGAACGCCATTTCAAAAATGTCCGGGTCGTGCATCCGGATTTGGTGATAACCGGAACGGAGATCCAATTTGGTGAAGACCCGTGCCGCGCCCAATTCGTCAAAAAGTTCGTCGGTGGTGGGGATGGGAAAATGGTCGGGTACTGTAGCTGCGTTGAGTGCTCTGTAATCCACACAAAAACGAAAGGAACCATCCTTCTTGCGGACCAGCAAGACCGGAGAAGAAAACGGGCTCTGGCTATGCCGTATAAGCCCTTGTTGCAACATTTCCCGGACTTGATGCTCGATTTCTGTTTTCTGGAAATAAGGGTAGCGATAAGGACGCACATTGACGGGTTTGGCGGCCGGAACCAAGTGTAGCTGGTGATCCCATGGGCGTGAGGGTGGCAGGCCGACTGGCGGAGAAAATAGGGCTGCATGGCCATGTATAATGGCGCGGATTGGAGCCGGAACGTCAGTGGGTAACTCAAGGGTGGCCTCTGCTGTCGTGGGGGTAGGGGCCGAGGTCACGACAAGTTCATAAAATTCTAGATCTGATGCCCGACTTGTCAGCGCCCATAGATGGTTGTAAGCAATCGGCCGAGGAGGTTGATTATCGCCCTGTAAAAGCACCGCCTTGCCTTGATACGAGAATTCCATAGTCAAATTTGCATAATCCTGAGACACCTTGCCCAAGGTTTGCAGCCATTGCACCCCCAACACGATGTCCGGCCCATGAATTTCCAAAATAAACAAATCAACGTCAAAGGTGTTGCCCTGGAGGAATAGGGGTGTCTGCCGGCAGGAATAGGAGCATCGTAGGGAATCCCCGTTGCCCACGTACACACGGAATGGGGTCACTGGGTGAAGGACCAAGGCAAGTCGTCCAGCCATGGCGGGGTGCAAAAAATTATGAGTGCTACCGCCATCGAGTAGGACCTGGACCGGAACATCATTCACAGCTCCGAGGAGTTTCAAGGAACGAGGATGAGGACTGCCGGCCAGTGAATGCATACTTGAAATATCGGCGGTAATAATATCCTCAGCAACCTGATCCGCATTGGCAGTGTGGTCGTCGTCGTCGTCGGGCCCCATAAAGGCGAGAAAGCGGTGTTTGCAATGATGCCCCGGAACCCACTTTTCATCACAATACCAACACAACCCTTTTTTTGCCCGCTCGGCCTTATCGGCCGCACTCACTTTAACAATAGGCAACTGAGAGAGAGAACTGGAAGCAGCGGGTTTGGATGGCGGAAAGGACCCTCGGGAAGGCGGTGGGATCTGGGACGGGTTGGCTGAAACTGGAAACCCAGGGGGAGTGGTCGCGGGCTGGCGGACCGGCCATGCACGGCGTGAGGAAGAGGCACCCTGCAAGTCTTGATAAGAGGCCGATAACTCACGTGCTAAGGCGAACGCAGCCGGGAGGGTAGTTGGAGTACGGAGGTTCACTTCACGCTGCACAGGTTGTTTGAGACCGGCGATGTACATGGCTACGAGCGTTGCCTCTGGAACACCCGAAACTTTATTCAATAGGGCTTCAAAGCTTGTTTGGTAATCCATCACCGAAGAGGTTTGTGTCAGTTTGGAGAGCAGCCCAACATAATTTTCGTAGTAACTGGGATCAAAGCGCTGCTGGACCGCCTTCAAGAATTCTGGCCACCGGGCGTTACAGTTGTTAGCTTGATAATATCGGAACCACTCCGAAGCGGGGTGATCGATGAGCATAGCGACCAGGTGAAAGCGTTCTTGCTCCGGTGTAAGAAAATAATCAAAATACTTTTGAACCCGGAATACCCACCCTGTGGGATCCTCCCCGGTAAAACGGGGTGCGTCAACACGCATGCGCGGGATGGGATCAGAGCCGGCTTAGACGTATGGCATACGCGTCCCCGGCGGCCGAAACCCGGTGGTGGGGGGGCGACCGTGAACACCGGAGGAGTCTTCAGGAGCAATCTCGGCGAGTTTCCTTGCCATGGACGCCTGTTGAACCCGCGTGGCATGCAATTCGTTGCCCAAGTTCGTGATGGCGTTCATGAGATCTTCCAATTTGAGGGCCGGTGGAGAAGCATCTTGGTGAGGCGGTGACGTCGTCATGAGAACGGCAATGAAAGCACCAATGATACCTCCCAAAGGTGTCAACAGGAGGTCGATGGGGAGGAAGGGCCGTACGGCAGGGGGAAAGAGGGAAAAGAGAGAGAGTTACGTGAGAAGGAGAGTTAGGGGAAGAGAGAGAGAGTTTTAGGGTTTAAGGGAATTCTTTATTGACAATTAGGAGAGCATTGGACGCCCTATTTATAACAAATAACCCCCTTAATCCTACTTAGTCTAGGTTATCTATCCTGACGGTTCAAAAAAAGCGACGAGGTAAAGAACCGTAAAGAAACCCTCGAAGGAGCTTATAAACCGCTCACCTAAAAAAATCTACGATACAATAAAAATAAAAACCAATAATTGAAAATGATACGTTTAAACATAGTTGTCATATTTCCTTGGACGGCCCACGTTCCTACGCGGACGAGAACACACCGGTGCCGTAGTCGCGTCCACCACGTCATTGCTTAACGTGTCCGATGGTACCTCCGTATCAATGCCCTAGGAAAACATTGCCCAAAATGGCGACTCACTTTTTCATTGCTACAATAATCTTTTGACACAGATTTTTTGACGACAGAGACACGTGATGTTTGTGTCCCCATAAAATAATGGTCTTTGCGTTGTTAGGAAGTGTGATTGTTTGAACCCCACATATACGCACGTTGTTTGTTTGACAGGTCGCAAGCACATGACACCGACCCCCGACATATGCATATAGTGTTTTGTGGTTGATCTACTTTGCTATGACTGGGAGCACCCGCATCCGATCAATTTTATATATAAAAACAAAAGTGTGCCCCCAAACCCCCCCCCCCCCACCCCCTCGTCAAATTAAAAAGTTAATTCCAGAAAGTAAAATTATTAAAGTAGAATATGAAGGTAAAGTATTTGTAATAATATACTCCGTATTATGTAATTCATTCAGTATTACATACATTTTTATACTTTTGAAACATTTTATTTTACTTATTTTAAATTTCTTCAATATAAAATTCATTCTTTTTTACATCACAATTTAAAGTTCTTTGAAAAAATTTGATGGTGCAGCCCAAGAACACTGCTTTACTATTGTCGTTGTCATTTCTAATCCTAGATTTGTTGCCACTGGCAAAATTTTATTTATATGAACTTCTTACAAACACATGATGTTTGTATGAAGTATTTGATGATGGCCGCTTACACAATTCAAGATTTTCGTTGTCATTTTCTTTATTTTTTTCTTTTTTCGCGAATGCAAAAATATAAGAGTGTGGGTATTATTATTTCACTATCCAAGGGCATTAAATAGAGTGAATATTATTCTTTTTCTCCATAAAGCCAAGAAAATTAAACATTTTGGACATTGTTCATCTGGAGTTGAATTGATGGATAGTATCAAAGGCGAGTGTGAGATTAAATTAGCGCTAGACAATGAAATCGCGAAGGTCGTTGAAAACACGATAGACATTAACGGGGCGCCGGTGTTATGGTTGGCGCCAGTAAACATTGATGGAAACGAGATTATAAATTACGAAGGACTAACGGTGCAATTTAAAAAAATGGAGCTGTTTATAATTTTTTTCTAGCTTGAAGCCTTAAGTAGGGAAGCAATTAACACGGAGGAATTGAAGAACACATGGAAACCACAAAGCCCTTGGTGCATGTCTTGTGTGTGTGTATATATATATGTGTGTGTGTGTGTGCGCGTATATCTTGATCCATCAGCTAGCAAACCAAACCTATATATGACAGGAAAAACTGCACTGAAATTCCTTCCTTCCCCTTTTGCCCCTGAAATAATCTCCAAGGGCAAGCAAATGACTACCACTAGGCTAGCTAGTATGTGTAATAATAAAAAATGGCTTGGGACTATAATGGTGTCTGTGTATATATGGGATTTACAACCTATGACTAACATGAACATCAAAACACAACCCCTCTATCTTTGCAACCCAACTTGATGATCATCAGCTTTAGATGTATTGCAGATACAACCCGGAAGAGGATTTGCATAGAAGTTCTCCTCTAATCGCGGCGAATCCCCCGCTTCTCTAAGGTATGGCGCCCCCAGCTTCTTCAAATGCAAGGCCTTCACCTCTGCTGAAAACTCATTCCAGGAAATCTCCCCCTTGTCCAATAAATCTATCCTATTTACAAAGTTTAATCTGCATTTATAACATCCAATTCGTAGTCATCATTAGTACATGAACGAAAATTCTTTTCGTATACCCAAGACGTTTTTCACATACAACACTTGTCAGTGAAAGTGGCACACCCACACGTGTTGTGGGTGAAAATCGCCCACACCCACAAGTGTTATGCATGAAAAGTAGTGTCTTGGTGTAACCCGGCGGTTATATGTTGTTGGTGTGTGTCTATGCAAAGAATGAGGTCATGGTAACCCGAGAATGTTGGGGTTACCCTAGCTTTATTATAATGTGAGAGAAGAGCGGACCTGTCGGGGCTAATAGTCTTTAGGAACCCTTTGAACCGCCTATGCCCTTGTACGGCCTTTGCCATGTTCCCATCATATGTATAGACAAAGACATCGCTCTGGAGGGCAATAATGTAATCCAAGGCAGCGAGCCGGTTCTGGTATGGCTTGAAAGGCTCCAACTCTTGCTCTGTCGCGAGGGTTGTGTGCGTAAACACGTTGGGGTACTCTAACCGGAACGCGTCCATGCTGTTGTTGCCGTATATTTCCCCTGCAACAATGTATATCTTTGAATTGGAGGGGTAGCCCAATGCCTTTAAAAACAAGGCCGCCTCCCTGGGGGACATTGGGCACCCACCCACTACCCTCCTTTGTTCGCTGTCGATCTCTTTCTCTTTCCAATGTTGCACGTTATACCTCATTACACGAAGCTCCTCCACCTCCGATTCACTCAAACTGTGACTACACCCTGTAAATGCAAGCATGTCCTTTTCGTACCTATAGACAAACAAGACTTTACTCGTCACACGTTAGAGCATAAATTAAGACCTCTCTCCTCACCCTACAACCACAAGTTTGTGTATGGCTTGAAGAAAAAAAAGGAAAGGAAGTCACCTTAAATGAAGGGCAATGTAGGGATCATCATTTTGCCTAAGTCTATTAACCAGTTTCCTTCCAAGATCCTCAATGGAAGGCGCATAGCGAAGGGCCTCGTAGTTGGCACGACATCGGAGCTTCTGAATGGAGGGTGCGAGGCCATTGTTAGCAAGTCTTGAATCAGAGTGTGTGAATTTGATCACCTTATGTTTCTTTAGTAATGGCAGAATCTCTCCTCTATAGTAACTGGCCTGCACCAAATGTTAAATCATTTATTTCAAGATATAATAATAATAATAACAATACTCCTAAATTAGTAGTTATTGACAATTTCCTTTCTTACCTGTGACCAAGATACAGGAGCCTTAACCAAGGGATCAAACATAGAATATTTTGCTGGCAAAGATTCAACTATCTCAATATCATCTTTCAGTGCTGCAATGAAGTGCTTCCAATCAAAGATATCCTTAAAATCACTGCCAAAACAAGAAACGGTGTTTCAAAGAACCAACTCAACTAAAAGCTTAACCTGGGTTAAAATTTAACAGTACGTACCTAGGATCGGTCCAAAAGGACTGGTGATCGAGGGAAGGAAGAACCAGAACCGCGTTTAGAATTTTCACTATCGCGACCATATCACATATCTGCAGTAAATTCACACACATTGTCAGATCAGTTCTAATTTCCAGACCAAAGAATTATTAACCATTTCTACTTACACCAGTTCTCATTTGATTCAGTCCTCCATTGGCATGGACTAAAATGTAACCATTTCTCGCCGCAGGCCTCCCTGAAAGATTGACAGCCATAATGAATAAAACCCATCATCATCTTAATCAAAACAATGGCAACCGAACGATTTCGAAGAAAAAACAAATGACAAAAGCTTTTGAGATTACTCATTTCGTTTGTTGATCGAGCAATGCAACTATAGTAGTTATTGCTGTTTGGTTTCGTCCATATTTCCGGTACCTGCCGAGAAAATCCGACAACAAACTCAGTTCCTAATTATGCTCTTCAGCTCCGATTAAAGAACATATTACTCCCTAATGCTAAAATAAATAAAGGTTATCATGATTTATGAGCCAGAAAGGTCATAACGGTCACATTCAGAGCTTAACATTTCTAAGGCAACCAGCTTCCCGTGCTGCCCAGTACTCCACCGGTTGGTCAAATAAATACTACTGGTAACACAGATGAATTTTTTTTAAATAAAAAATAGGTAAATTTAAAATAATTTTCTTGTTTTACCATTAAGAAATAGAGTTTTAAAACAAGTATATTGCATTATCTGCCGACAATCAGGGAAAAAAGTGTTAAAAGATACAAGAAAGCGTGTTTAATTGTCAAATAAAGTAATTTCAGGAATTAAAGTTTCGATCTTTAATCTGCAATAATTACTGTAACCAACAAAAAAAGAGAGAGAAACTTACAAAAACCTCCTTCATCTGGCGTTTCAGAACAACATCCCCTGAAGATGAAGAAGAAGAAGAAGAAGAAGCTGATGAAGATTGAGATTCAGAAACGATTCTTTGGGCATTATTAGCCCAATCATTCTTGAAATTCTTAAGGACAAACGGACCATTCTCCGACAACCTCATCGTCATCATCCCTTCATTAATCCCACCGACACTTCCATTACTTATGAATGAGAATTTGATGAATGCTGTGACAACCACCATCGCCAGCAGCATCCCGAGCATTGACCTCCCCGTGTTCTTTCTCGATCTAAAGCACTGCATAACCGCAAAAACCTTCAACAATATTTCTTCCCCTCTGAATATAATTTTCTCCGGCACCCTTTTACGCACCGAAAGGTACCGCATAGCCGGGTGGGGGTGGGGGTGGCCGCCGCCGCCGCCGCCGGCGCATCTGCCGACGCAGGTGGTGCTGCCGTATTCCGAATCCTCGGCGTCTCTGGAGAAATGGGTCGGCGCGTGATCTGTCAATTTCTCGGCGGCGTTCAAGAACTCCGGTAGATGACGGCGGTGGTGTGCAGCTGGGCTTCCGCCGGCGGGGCCGGTAGCTGTCGGCATTTCCCGGGGAGAGCAATGCGGAGAAAACCAAAAGAGGAAAAAAAAAAGTTTATTTTTGCGAAGAAAACGGATGATTGTACAAGGGAAGGCAGAGATTTTCCGATTGTGAGCCGTTGCTTGATTTCTGTGCATATAGAGAGAGAGGTACGGCAATTCTCTCTCCCTCAAAAGGTTGCTCTAAAGTTTTTGTTTCTCTCTCTCTCTAAGAATTTGGGAGAGTATATATAGTATGGATTTCCTCCAATTATGGAAAGGTTTTACGAGAGTGTAAAAAATCCAACTCAAAATAGGGATGTCTAGTTTGGGTTGCCATGAAGCTGATGTGAAAAATATATTTTTTTACCTCTGCAAAGCAAATAGACTGAAATATTGAAAATATACTAAAATAGTAATTTCATGATTTTGTTCACAAAATAGGATTTACATTATCATACATGGTCATATACATTACCAAAAAAGTATAGTAATTTGCACATGTACATTGCCACATTACCACAGTGCAAAATTTTATTCTGGGAAAGAACATGAAAGTCATATTTTGGTAATATTCTCTATGTTTTAGTCCTATTTAGAGTGATTTCTAAATTCGAAGTGACTCGCTAAAAATGGACTAGACTTAATCAAATCCGAACCCAACCTGACCGAAGATATTTTTTTAGTTTTTTTCTTATTGCTTATTTTTATTAATAAATGTATATTTTCAAACAAATTTTTGATGATATCAGAGTATCTTAACATTTTTTCAAAAATGATACATATTTACTCGTAATTTTTTTTATTTTATTTGTAATATTGTTAAATATATCTAAAATAATTAAAAATTCAAAATGCGAATACTAATATAAATTTAATATTCTAAAAATAATCCCATAACACATTTGGTCGACCCGAACTCGATAACGCTGGATCATGAACATGTACTTCTTAATCCGATCCCAAACTTATCCAAACTCTATGTAACTGGAACCCGTAGTGATCGCTAACTCAAACCCGATCTTACCGACCGATTTGGTGACGTAAGTACCCCTTGATTAAGTGATATGCATTTCAAAAAAAACCAATAAACTTTTAATTAAAATAAAAACATTCCATTTAGCCATTTAGGAATTCATATAAATACTTCCAGATTTAGTCGATTATATAATATTACTCCCAAGTTTTCTTTTCCACACCATTACTTCAATTCAAAAACAACTAGATTTTACATGAAGCATGCTACATGTACCTCAAAATTTGTACATCATTTATATACAAAGGTATGCATCAAAATTTTGATGGTTCACACTAACACAAAGTGTTGGTGCGTTAACAAAAAAATTTATTGACACAAAGTGATGATGCGTTAATAAAAATTAGCATTATACCAACACAAAATGTTGGTGCATTCCTGCGGTATACAAAATGGGGTACAAACTCTTTGGGTACAAATATCATTTTCCATTTTACATCACTACTCCAATCAAATTTTACATCTCTACTCTAATGAATTCTAAATCGTTACTGAGTCGATCAACATCTATACTCTACTTAAAAAAAAGGAAAATTCCCTATTGCATTTTCTCGCCTATATGTTTCAGTCACAAAAGGTAGGTGCTAAAACTAGAATTGTTAAGTACAAAATGTAGGTGTCATGTATAAAGTAATTAATAATTATTAATTATTATGGTACCATGTAATAATAATAATAAACGTAATAATAATAATAATTGTAATAGGTAATATGTGAAACTTTAATAATAATATGGTAATAATATGGTACCGTGTAATAATAATAAATGTAATAATTATTATTGGTATCGTGTGTAATAAAAAAGGTAACATGTGAAATAGTAATTATTGATTATTATTTATTAATAAGGTAATTTCATACTGTAATATTTTTTAATATCATGTAATTAAAAAAGGTAACATGTGAAACTTTAATTATTAATTATTATTAAGGTAATTTCACACCTTTAAATTTTTGGTACGGTGTAAAAAAAAGGTAACATGCAAAACCGTAATTATTATTTCTTATTTATTAATAAGGTAGTTCTATACCTTAAAATTTTTAATGCCGCATAATAAAAAAGGTAACATGTGAAATTGTAATAATTAATTATTATTTATTAAGTGCTAAAACTTGAAATGTTAAGTGCAAAATGTAGGTACCTTGTATAAGGTAATCTCATAATTATTTACTCTCTCACAAGGTATAATCTCATAATTATTTACTCTCTCACACGGTATAATATTTACATAATTATTTATCTCAATAAATGTGATAATATTATGGTACCGTATATTAATAATAATTACAATAAGAAACGTAATAATAAAAATATTTAAAAAGGTAACTTCGTTTTGTGCTATTACCGTGTATAAAATAAATGAAAGTGTTGCATTGGTTTAAAAAAATGTGTTCTCATGTGAACGAATAATAATAATAATATGATAATATTATGGTATCATATTATTATTATTATTATTATTATTATTATAAAGATAAGTTTAAGAAAAATGTATCCTCATACTTCCTTATATTTTTTGGTCCAAATTATAAATTATAAAAAAATTAGACGGTAAAAAATTAAATTAAATTTTAAAGTATGGAAATTATAATCACGGTGTGAAAAAAATACGATTTTAACTTAAATGTGTTTCCATTTATACCTTATAGGTATTTTAAATAAGATAATTTCATTATACATGGTTTTTTTGGAAAAAATACACGTTAGTAATAAAAAAAGTTAGGTGGAAACACATATATTTAAATGCTAAGTAAAAATGGTTGTGATTTTGCCAAAAGATTTCATTGTATTTAAGAAAATAAAAATTTGAAAAAAGGAAAAGATAATAAGCAAAAAAATTATAGTATAATTACGGTCATTCGCAATCACTTTTGCAATTAGCTTCTGTGAAGTGCGTTTTCAAATTTCGCATTCAAACAAATATATGGAGATCTTAATCGCTTAAGAATTATTGATGAGAGGCCATCACTTTTGTTGCTAAAACTGATAGCGATAAGAGTTTATCATGTTTCCACGCCATTGTACATTGGGTGAATCATTAAATGTTATTTTTCACAATTCAAAGGTTAGTTCTTTCATTAATATAAATCTAAAATACGTATATATCAATAACGTTGTAATGATTCTTACATGCTCTTTTTCCTTTGCATTGTTAGGGAGATCGAATGCATGCGTAGATAAGGTATTCAAATATACACACTTTGAAAGAAGATTTGAAAGAAAATAACGTTTATTTACTGATGAGAGTCAATGTACTACGCAATTACCAAACAACGAAAACTATCAATCACCCTTCCATGCAACAATTCTTTAGGAGGATGAAGCTTCAAAAGAAAATATTCCCACAAATTGTAATTTAGCACGTTGAAGCTTCAATCACCCTTTCATGCTACAATTCTTTTGAAATTTATAAAGCAAAAAACTTTTATACCTTAAAATAATGAAATCCCTATATTCTATTAGATATCATTTTCTATCATTCAAAAATGATCTTAATTAATTTAGTAGCATAAATATGACCCATGTAACATACGGGTGTGATACTAGTCAGGTTTAATTGCGTGAAGTTGTGTTAACTCACATATGAAATAATGAATTGGAAAACACATCTAAAGTAATGCAATTAAATTGCACTTCATTTGAATTGTTTTGATTACCCAATAAAAGAAACCCTATTTGAACTTCTTTTTGGCTAAATTCGTAAGAGAGTCACTCCTCAAAATCATAGGAAAGTTCATCAATTTTCGAACCTCAACAGAAATTGATGCATTGGCTCATTGTGCTACATTGTAATTAAATCTGGCAAAATAGACCCGGATTGGATAAGCTGAGTCGAATAACCCAGAATCAAATCTGAAATATTCTGAAAACTTAAGAATTGAATTATACCCGAACACCCAAAATGATCCAAACCAAACTAAAATTGAACCGAATGTAATGCACTTAAAATCCAAAGGAAATGTTGCTACGTGTGATGAATATTATGCTTTTATTAACAATAAAACATGAGAATTAGTACCCTCTCACACGAGAAAATATATTATTTATGGAAAATGGTTATTTCACCATAAACTAGACCCTACAAGGGAACTTTAGTCCAGGTACAAAGTACAATGGGTGATTTATTGATTCAATCCGTGTCTTGGAGTGGATTATGATGGGACTTTTAGCCCGATAGTTAAGCCAACTACCTTCCAAATTGTCCCCAGTATTGCCTTGAACTGCGGCTGGCCAATTCATCAATTGCCATTGAGATTCTAATATCCCACATGCCCACACTATGTTTGCAAGCTCAACAAAGCTCTTTATGGGTTGAAGCAAGCAACCCATTTCTAGTCTCTTCATTTTCCCACATTCCTTCATCCAATCCTTACGGTTTTGGTGGTGTAATTCCAACACCTCTCCTTTTGTTTATCAGCAAGGTAGAAACATGGCATATTTGCTTCTACATGTGAACGCCATTGTGCTGACTACCTCCACTCTTTCATTAGCTTATTGAGAGACCTAAGGAGAGTTTGGAATGAAAGATATGGGAGACCATCATTTTTTCTTGGTGTTAACGTTCAACACACACCGCATGGCTTCTTTCTTTATTAGACACAGTTCACACATGTGATCATTGAGCATGCTAGCATGATAAACCTTGTAACGCTCTAAAACATACACTAAAATTATGATTGAATTATTTTTCAATTAAAAAAATTTGTTTTGATTAAAATAAATTATTATTGGGCTTTGGACTGAAATGAAATATGTTTTGATATTTGATATCATAATCTGGATAAATATCATAGAGATAAATCCAATATGTAGACTATTTGCGTGATCTTGATTGGGAATCAGAGTACAGACCCAAATTAAGAATAAATGAAAAATTTGTTTATGATGTGAACTTTGAAATGATTTATTGAAATAAATCATGAGAATAAATAATATGCATTAAATGTGAGAACCTTTTTTAATAAAGGTAAATTGAATCAATTTTGACTATGTCAAAGTCAAACACCAAAAATATGATGTCAGAAAAAGTATTACAAATAAATATAAAAATTATATCGTTGGATAGAATTTGACTGTCCGATCGCAACGGTGCAAA